AATATATATATATATATAAATATATAATGTGGAGTTCTTACAGGGGTTGGATATAGTGATAATATAATAGGACTATTTTCAATGTTTACTGTAACAACTGAGATATTAGAACATAATCATATTATTAGCCAAATTAGACTCAAATAATCATATAATTAGCCAAATTACCAAGATGTCGTCAAATCCTTGCTGTAAATTTAGCATCAGATTTATTATGACCGAGATGGAAAAAAAAAATCAGATTTTTCTCCTCTACGTGTGTGATGGCCATATTCTACTTAAATAAATATTGTCTATATTTTCGCTAGAAGTTATTTAAATTATCTCGTGTGAAACATTTTAAAGTTTATCTTCATGTCAACACAATTTGCTGGAGATAAATTATAAATAAATACAAACAAAAGTTCTCTTTTGAGAGGAAAAATTATTTTCAGAAATATTTTTGATGACAGATTTCAGAAAAGTTCTTTGATCTTCTGGAATGTTTTGAAATAATGTATTCAGAGAAATATACTTAAAAAAAGGAAAATTGAAATCTTTGAATAAACAGATAATGAAATTCTCAAACAGATAATGAAATTCTGTTTGATATTTTAATAATAATGAAATTCATAAACATATATAATGAAATTCTGTTTGATAATAATTCGAAAGCTATAAACAAAAGAACATGTTATTTATTGATGACAAAGGATGATAGTTAACGTATAGTTCCGTTTCTTGGTAACTTACAATTAAATTAAATTATTGATAATTCATTTGCATGGTATAATTGTTTTACGAATTAATTTAAAAACTGTAAATTGTAAGTTTTGAAAAAACAATTAAAATGTTGTTTTTTTCGAATTTGATCTTGAAATTGAGGTTTTTAAATTTTGAAAAAAATATTTTTTCCATTGTTTCCAATATTTAAACAAATATCCTTGAAAAGAGTTATGTAAGTTTTTACAATGTTATTAAAAATATTTTTTTCTATTGTTCCTAATATTAAAACAAATACTAGATGATTTTAAATTAGGGAAAGCCAAACTTTTGAGTAATCAAGACTTTTTAATATATTTTAATTTTGTATCTTACATTAGACATAACTTTCATAAAAAAAATCAATGTATATTCAACCGAAAAAGTTTGTTGATTTAACTGATTTTTAATCTGTATAAATTCGTATCACTACTTTGATGAAATTTAGGAAATTCGTCCTAAGAAATTTCTATGGGGTTTCATATTTCATTTTTTTATTATTTTATATTTTTCTAAAGAAATATTTCCAACAAAATGTTTTACGAAATTACCCTATTAAACAGAAAAATGTTGTATTAGGATATAAAATTGAATACACGCTTTCTTCTCTCTTACTACGACCACTGAACTAAGTCCATTGAACTACACTGATTTCGGCCTTCTAAAGAAGAATCCTTGCTGTGTATTCTTTGTGGTTCTTTATAGAAAGAAAATTACTTACATATGCAACCAAAGCTACTTCACATCTGGAATCCTTTTGGGTGTTAAGTTTCTTTTTAGGATTGAATCCTGCATCATATACAGTGAATACTGTTCCCAATAGATTGGATCTACGTATAATAAATAAAAATAATGTCTTAAATTATCTCAAATATGATTTTCTTTTAAATAAAATAAAAATACAAGACAATGAGCCACTTTAAAGGTGCTTAAGTTAAGAAAAAACAAGAACATATATACAAGAACACATAAGAACACAATTTACGGAAAGAAACTGTCAGCTGCTGTACCAGTATAAAACAGATTATTTTACAGAAAAATACTATCATTTATATTTTTGAAAGCAGTACTGTTATTTTTACAAATAAACTCCGTTATTTTAAAGAGCAAACGTTGTTATTTTAACAAAAAATTCCATTTAAAGCCTATGTCAGCATTGTGGTCGCTGCGTGAAGAAAACAGCATTCATACAACCAGCCGACGCTGGGATTTGATCTCCTCCGTTCTGTTTTCTAAGCTATTGCAGCTCTAGTGCCACAGTATGAAGAAAATTCTTAAGCTATTTTTATCTAAAAAAATTTACTTTTTGAAATAATATTTAAGTGTGAAAACTTTGAAAATATAGTGGTCTACCCGTATAAAAATGTCTGGCAATTTAACTTACCGAAAAATTGTATCTAAAGACAGATGATAATCAGGTAGAGTATCAATTTGGTAATGAAGTTGAATTGCAATTTTACTTATACGATATTTAAAACCGTTAAATAATTAATGAAAAATAAGAACAAGTATAGAGAATAATTGTAAATGATAAGAAAAAAATGTATAGTTATCGTACGGTTAGCAAAATTGTATGGCCAAAACTGGAATTTGAGCTATTGGTTTTAATCAGTTTTTGATTCGTATGAAAAACAGAGAAAAACTGTTTTGTCAAAGAAAGAGCTTTAAGCCTTCAAATATACAGAGAAAATCAGCAAAAAGAACGGGAATATTTTACAGTGTAAAGCGTTTTACATCTTTTGAAGGAAGGAATTATTTGAGCCCTATTTTATTTTCGTAACTGTGATAAAATACAGTGTTATAATTTTCTTTTTAACTTATCCAATTATTAATTTTTTTTCTGTTGCAAATAAAAACTGGTCTCAAAGAAGTCTTCCAAGGACACACTTGAGAATAATTAAGCTATATAGAAATTTAAAAAAAAATTCATTTTCAAAAGCTATATAACTTTTTAATAACTACTAAATTCAAAAATTATAAGCACATTTTCGTAAACGTTTTTCCTTTGCAAAATGCGGTCGTAAATTTTGTTTCAAATCGCAACCGAGCTGTTATGGCTCAAATAGTAGGCCTTAACGAACCTTATATTCTCAGAAACAATGTTATTTATAATGTTTAACGAAAAATGTACATCAAAAGTACAGATGCTCAACAACAAAAAATCTCATTGCGCCCTGCATTTAACCACTAAGTTTTAGTTGAATCTGGTCTATAGTTCAAAAGCTATAAAGGTTTTTTCCCCACAGGTCACTTATTGTCACCCTATATATTAGTGTTAGATAAGTATATTCTGCTGAATACACATACCCAGTTGTTGATGACTCCGGCCATCTACCAAGGACTTGTGGCATCCATAGCAAGGCACGTTGCAGCTGTGTTGCTGACTACAGGTGGGCCAACTCGTTATTAAGAGGTGGTCATAATGTTTTGATTCTTGAGTGTATATATATATCTATATACTATATATATAATATGTTTAGAAACATACTCTAAAAATAGTTTACACACAGCAAAAGCTGAAAATTAAAATTTATCGATTTTATGCATAATTAAACGTAATTTTAAGAAAAATTATTAAGTTTTATCAATTCAATTGTTTTTCATCGCATAGATGAGTTTTTTCTGTTTTGTACTACATATCCTTAAGTAAAAGTCTTATATTCTGTTATTATTTAAAGTTCGGGCATTCGGAAGTTATATTTCACTCAAGAATACCATATACCATAAAAAACCGAAATAAAATTATGTTTTAAAATGCAGCTGAAGAAAATGTTTACCTTAGTTTGCCAACGAATGAATCTCCTCCCCGAGATAAATCAGTGGGATCTATAGAAATCAAGTAATTAGAGGTGGCACTTTTTTTTCTTTTTCTTGCAGCTAATAAGAACACCTAAAAAACATTTATATTTTTAAAATAATTTCGCATATTTCTAACACTACAGAAAATAATGTATTATGTCCAGTTAATTATTGACAGCGGTGACATTATGCAAATCAGCTTCATAATTTGGAATGCAAAAGAAGAAATTTTGATTATAATTATTTCATATTACTTAAATACAGTTTTAACGCTAAATTTTATGTTATTTAAATATTACTCTGTAGAATGAAATATTACCATTCTTGATTTTTTTGTGAAAGTACCTCTCGAATACGAATAAAACCCTCGTTTTGCCCCACCACTCCCTATAAATACCTTCTTTCATCGAATTTATTGCCAGAAATAAGGAAGGTGAGGAAATGGATTCTTTTAATCATTAAATTTCTTTTGCAAGGCTAGAGAGGTTAAAGTTTGAAAATATGAACAGTTATTGTTGGCAAGGGTTGTGATATTTTGAGGATTTGTCCCTTAAGAGGACGCCATACCACGGAAAAACTTTTCATCGCAAATTCTACTTTATCTGCGTAACTAATTTAAAATTTGAAGTATAGCAGAAGTGAATTCAAGCAAACTCAGATTAAGCCATGAAGCTGGAAAAAAAATTTAAAATATCAAAGTGCAAACAAATTTTGGATGAGAACTTTCCCATTACTCATAATTTATTTTCATTTTGATATTTTGAAAACTACTTTCCGGTATTTCAAACTTCATGCTTTAATTTAGGTTTGTCTGAAATTTTTCTTACATAATAAATTTTAAATTAGTAATGAAAGTGAAAGAGAATTTGCGACGGAAAGTTCTTCCCATGGAGTGGCGTCCTTTTATAGGACACTGTACCACGGGAGAAACTTCATGGCAAATACTGTTTCACCACCATTGGTGATTTGAAATTTAAAGTATTGAAAAACTGAGTTCATATTAACCAAGTGTAAACCATGTAGTTTCAAATGTTGAAATTTGTTTTTCAAAGCATCAAATTTCAAACAAATTATGGCGGACGTACTTCCTTCCTACTTAATCCTGAGTATTCCTGTCCTGACTTGTTTGTATTTTAATACTTTGAAAAACCGCCGGCCAGGTGGCCGAGCGGTTAGCGTGCCTGACTGCGAAGCCATAGGCTGCGGGTTCGAATCCCGCTCTGGGCATGGATGTTTCTCTCTCTCTTTGTGCTGTCTTTTGTTGTGTGTGTGTATGATGTGTGAATGTGGCCCACCCTATAAACGGGTTTGTGGCATGGGCAATGTTGCTCGCCTCCGTGACTTTGCTTCACAGGTGCCCACTGGGTAACGCGAAATGAGCAACAATTCTGGCAAAGATTCGAATTCAGTGCCTGCCATTGGGGAAAAAAAACCTTTTTCCTCACTTTTTTTGTGTACTTGAATTTACCAATGGAGGTAAAACAGAATTTGTTGTTATGAAAAATTGTTGCTTCTTCCAACAGAATTAGAAGGAAACAGAATTTGTTATTTCTTGCTCTGAGAAATCTCTTCCTCTGTGCTTCTTCCGTCTTAAATTGTAAAAAAGAAGAAAGAAAAACATTAAAAGTGACCATTTTGCCTTTTTTCGCATTTTTTATTTCCTACACATTCAAGATTCAGCCCTAAATAATAAATATATTTTGTTGCAATTTGAGCTAAAAGCAGATGAAAAGGACAGTTCTCGTATGGTACAGTTTCTGATTTATTACTTATTTAAGGAAAAAAAAGAATATCATCCCAGATCATCGAGTTTCTTTTATTTAGGAAAAATAATCAAACAGAATGGAAAGGAAGTTCTGTTATTTGTCCAAAAGCATAACAACAAATAAATAAACGAAAGCAAATATCTATTCTATTTGAAAATAATGTAGTTATGCAAGGGTAAATTGAATAATAAAATGAGTAAAACTGCAATGAATTCCAAATATTATAAATTTGATTAAAATTATTAATTGAAGGCTTTATTAGGAGAAGCGATGAGCAACAAAAAGAGGCATTAAAAAATTGTAGCAAACCTGTGATTAAGTGAAGTGAATTTTTCCATATCTAAGCTAAATCTTTAATTCTGATTTTATATTAATGGTTAACACTAATTAATTGCGTTACATCAATCCAGTGCATAGTATCATGTAATGTGCAACATAGTTCAAGAAAATCATATCAAAAACTATTCAGGTTGTTCCAACAATGTATATGAACTGCATTTAACACCCTCCATTTAAAAAGGGAATAATTTAAACATTACGTGAAGCAAATAGATTCTAAGTAGATAAAAAAAACTTAAAAAATCTCTTATCAAAAGAGTTACAGCCTTATCAATATATAAAGTTTGGGATGATTTGGGGCACCTTCACAAATGCACAGTGGTTCAGGCATCGAGTTCTTATTGTTAAAGACAGTGGTTCTTTCTTCGGTGGCAGCTATAAGCCGACCCGACTTAACCCCTTAACGATCGGTTAATTTTCAAGAAAACGGTCATAAAAGTGCCTATTTTTTATCATATTACAAATACACGTATTTTATTAGTGCTGACATCTAGTTTAAAATAAACTAACTATCTACAATTACCTTAAAAATATCCTGGAACTGCCATCTGGTGTGTAAAATGAGAAATAAAGTGTTTTCCGGGCAAATGAAATGAATTAATTTTATTCTTATTGGTGCGCGTTACTACTGAACACTCCAGCCCGGAAATATGACGGGAGAGAGAAATAGAGGACGAAACCTCCCCCCGTCATTTTCACGGGAGCGAGAATGAAGGGGTTAAGATCATTGGGTATAAGCATGCCTGTAAAGTAAAAGTATCCATTTCACAATGCTGCGATCATTGTCACCACCGATACTGTTTATCTGAAAATTGTGGAATCTTAACCTCCATGACATCCTTCGTTGACAACTGGCCGTTGGGACAGTGTTTTACTTTAAGCAGCCACAAATATACCAAAAACACAGAAATTCAAAGACGCAAGAAAAATAGCAATGTCTAACAGTTAAAGTATATTTATTCATATCCAATAAAATACCGCTAAACTCTCCTTTAAAATAGTTGAAATTTTAAGAATACCTTTCGTCCATCCTGTCTTTCTAAATGAAGGAAGTAAGTAGGAAACATTCCTCGATCCATGCCTTTCTTATCTCTTGTGATGCGACATCTTACAGTTACACCCTGTGGACATGGCTCTGAAGCAAATGCAGCCAGATCTTCCAAGAAATTTTCCAATTTCCCTAAGCAATCATCCATTTCCAAACTTTCCAACTTTGGAGTGTCTATTGAAGATGCAGTTGACGAATTTTGCCTTTGCTAAAAAGAAACCTTTTGTATTAAATCAAGATTTCGGTTTAATGGAATCGAAAAAAAAGTAAACCAAAAAATGATTCTAATTATAACAACTAAATTGAAAAAACCATGTGCATATAAACTATTTAAGTTTTCAATCGGAATTTTTAACATATTTTTTCCGAAAAAATTAGAAATCAACTCAAAATTGTTTTATTTTATTTTTAAAACTATGTATCACATAATAATTATTATATTATTCTCTATTTTATCAGAGAATGTTGTCCATGTTTACTCCTTGAATGTCTCTTATAACAATCAATCAATTTTTTCCTGAAGACAACCAATTACGTAAGTTACAAAGATTCTGGCTATCATTTTGAGTTGTAAACACTGCAAACTGACAGAAGGACTCTGACATGTGAAGGTAACGGTTTCGAGTTCCGCTGTAACCGTAGATATATATTTGTGGTGTCCTTTTCCAGCTTGTGCCAACTGTTCTTTTTCTTGATAGGAACATACAAGCCGTACTTTGTAATTAGCACAATATTAATACATTATTTACTCCGTACAAGAGCACAACGATGGGCAATTGATGACTATCATTGAAATATCACTGCGGACAATCCGAAGACATGCATCACAATTTTGATCCTCTGCAGAGGAGGTGGCATACCCGTTTTGGTAGTCTGACGACCTAGTGCCTGAAGTCGATCACTTTACGAACAGATTAACGAGAATCGATGCAGTGCAACGTCGGTCCCTTTGCAAGCTTATCGAAAGGATAGCCCACCCGTTCATTCACCACTGCTTATGATGCTTGACTTTGGTCTTCTACTTCATGTCCTTACGATCTGTCCACTGTGGGACGTACTGATCATATAAGCCTGCATATGTGTGCTGTTGTTGTGGTTGTAGTTCATTTACGTCACACTAGAGCTGCACAATGTGCTATTAGCGACGGTCTGGGAAACATCCTTGAGGATGATCCGAAGACATGCCATCGCAATTTTGATCCTCTGCAGAAGGGATCGCAACCCCGGTTTGGTAGCCCGGCGAGATACACGTGAAGTCGAGCACTTTACGGTAGAACAGTTCAACGAGGGCCAATACCGCACACCCTCGGTCCCTATGCAGACTGATCCAAGTGGTCACCCACCCGCCCGTTGACCGCAGCCAGTGATGCTTGACGTCGGTGATCTGCAGGGAATCGTGTCTTAGTGATAAGTCCATTGCGGGACGCATTTATGTGCATAACAGTAACTAAAATAAATAACTGACTGATTGTGAGACTAATGTTCTAGAAAGTAAAAAAAGAGAGCATCGCAGGTTCCTGCCCCCCAATCACTAAAGAACCTTAACGCTTAAGTTCCACATTATGTTGTGAAACTGATCTCCCTTTTATTATCCGCTTGTACTGTTCTTTTTTGAAAGTGAAAAATACCACTTGTGGTGTATTTATCTTCGAGAAATGGTGATACTCTGAGATGTAGACATTTTGAATTTCAAAGGTTCGTAAGTGTGGCGCAATGTAAAGCAAAGAACCCATTCTCTTTTCCCTCATCTCAAACTTATTTTGATGAAATCAAAGCAAGTCTGGCTTCGGATATAAAACTATACAATATACTGAATGAAAATTTCATTTGTTTATTGAACCAACTCCACTTTCGTTCATTTGTGATACAGTCTGGAGTCTTATGAGTTTTTGAATTGTTTTTCTGATGCTTTTCTGATTTGTGGTGCCCTCTGTTTAGAAAGAGAACTAAGCTGAAGTTGTACTAAGATTAAAAGAAGATAGAAACGGCGTGTATAAACATGAAACTGAAGATAAATCTATTTTTTTTTAACAAAGAGAGCTGGTCCACCATTTTAATAAGGCCTCAAAGGAATATTATCGTTTTGGTCCTTCAGTGACTTTGAGGAACAAAACTACAACCTTCTGTGTCTGAGATCTGAGTCTTAGTCCACAAGTCATCACGGCCTAATTGATAATAACTAGATGCATCAATGCTAAATAAAAATTAGATTTTCTTCATAAAATTAATTTCTACAAAAATAAAATAAAAGGTAAAATTAAATTTAAAAAAAATTTAATACTAATTTAAGTGAGACCGACTGACTAAGTGAGAAGAGACTTGGATTTATGATATGAAATAAATACTTTAAACATATTTGAGGGCCTCCCTGACTGAACGGTATCACCCACCAAACACTGTGCAAAGAGTGGAGGTGGCGGGTTCGAAGTTCGCCGTAACCCCGGATGCATGATGGCCTTTTCTAAATTGTTCTATCTCTCCTTCTACTTGACAAGGGTTTATAAGCCTAAATTGAGCACCCTACAAATATATGTAATTTAATAAATAAATAAAAATAAAAACAAATTTGTGCAAAAAAATTTTTTTAAGCCGCCTTTCTAGAACCGTCGAGATGAAACCATGCATATTTTTTTCTGTCCATTAGCAAATAAAATTTGAAATTCACAAGTTAAATCGAATCAAGTATGTTTTTCTAAGAAAGAGTGGCGTTAATTTGAGTTTTTTATTTAGAGTAATTTACACGCTCTTATGCAGATTTAATGTAATTTCAATCTCTATTTTTTTATTAACGTAAAATATAAATTTCAAAAATGTTGCTAAAGAAACATTTAAGTCAGTTTTTAAAGTCAATGTTTTTTGAATATTTTACGAGTCCTTTTCAAAATATTAAATGACTGACCAGAGGAGGACGTCCGTTTCTGACTTCAGAATTTTCTCTTTCTGTTCTCTCGATGGCACTTGGACCATCTTCAGGAAACGATATGGATTCGATAGGTGATACATCTTCATCGTCACTTGCATCGAAATCGATTTGCGATGAAAGATTCAGCTTTTCTAGTTTTGTCTCGATAACTGAAAGATGTTAACACCTATTATATTTAAACATGGATATTACATTTAAACTTGCATATACTAATTATTGATTTCGTCCAAGAAGATTATAATTTCCGAAATTCTTGATATTGAGAATAAACACATATTATTGTGGATGTCTGATAGGTGATGAATGTTGACATTCACCTGTGAACATTTACATAGTCGATTTGGGAAATACCTAAAATATTTTTTATCAAAAATATTCAATAAGCGTTGAGTAAAAAAAAAATATATCAGGGAAATGAACGTAGGAAGTACCAGACAATGGCCATAACCCATAAAGTCATTCGTGTAAGGAAAGCCGGGGATCAGGAAATGGCCTTTAACCGTAAAAAACATCAGTGTGGCGAATACAGGGCAAACGTATTCCGGGTAACGGTTCATATATTTCTATTGGGTGAGTATTCCAGTTTATCCAGTTATTATTAAAAATAGCCAATGATTATTAATAACAACCATGCCTTTTTAATAAATGTGCAAAATATATTTCAATGCCATTGCTCGGTATACCCTACTTTGATCTTTGATTTTTTTAAAAGATTAAGAGTCATAGCCCGATATACTCTTTATGTATAAATTTATATATATATATATATANATAAATAAATACAAGAAAACACGAAGAAAGTTAAGAAAAACAATAAGTTTCATATATATATATATATATATATAACGTGGAGTTCTTTCAGGAGTTTGGTTAAATGATAATTTAATAGGACTATTTTCATTGTTTACTAAAACAACTGAGATATTAGACCATAATCATATTATTAGAAATTGCACAAAATTATATCAAGTTAAAAATATAAAGAAAACATGGAGAATAATAAAGAATAAGGAAAAGAGAAGAAGAAAAATTATTAAAATGAATATTAATTATTAAAATATTTATTTTCATAATTTTTCTTCTTCTCTTTTCATTAATTTTTATTATTTTGAATGCTTTATCGATATTTTTAACTTATTTTATGAGTTCTATATGCTTACAGCTTATGTGCAGTTTATAAAACTAATTTATTTTCTTAATTTTCTTCGTTTTTTTTTCCTTTTTGTTGTTACTGTGCTCTCTCTATATACATTCCGGACATTGAGCAAAGCGACCATTAGATGTTGATATTTACCAGAGATTTTTGGTGAATATCGACCAAAGAAATGTCGATTTTCAGAGTCTCATCGTAACAAATGTAAGAGGTATTTTTTAAAAAAACTATGAAATTATTTCACGGACTCTTTTGTTTCCGATCCATTCTAATAACTATATATGACTATATGATTAATATACTTATACCTAATTGAACCCAAATAAAATGTGATGAGTTAACTGAAAAATTATTTTTGCAAATTGTGTTTAGAATTAAATTATAGGAAAATAACCTGAAATATCAAGTAAAAAGATTTTGAACATAACAAAAGTTTTATTCTTTTTAATAAGATAAGAAATATTTTTGTTCCCAATTTGAAATGAGAAAATACTTCTTCCAACGAATTTCGAATTCCACTCTATTTTAATTAAGACTCAGAAAACTTGAATTTGACTTGAAGAGACTGTTGAGACGCACACAGATCTTGAAAACAAACATTTCCTCCATTTCTGAGTCAAACAAAGACTTCAAGAAATATTTACTGGAAATATTTTGAGTTTATGATAAGCAAACTGTAAATAGAAACATTTTGAGTTTAAAATATAATTTAGCAAAAATATATTTAAGCTGAAGTTATAAAAATTAAGTGTGTTTTTTTCTAGTTTAAATACAATCTCATTAAAGGTTTAAATCAATATTATTAATTTAAAATATTATATTAAATGTATTAATTTATCATCAACTGTTTACTTATTCTAGTCACTGACCAAACTTTACTTATAACAACACGCGATTTTGATATGTTTGTTCAATACTCCGTTTATTTATTTTCCGCAATATAAAATATTGAATATCTACAAAACACACTTTTTTACCTATAAGAAAATGACTGAGGAAAAAGTAACTTTTTCCTTTTTTCTTTCTTTCTTCTTGAAAATTTAGGGGAGGTGAATATTTTTTCTTGAAATGTTTAGAATATTCAACACCATCTGTTGCGATGGTCACGTAGAAAGGAAAAAAAAGGCTTTTGTTTTGCAATTTCTGTAGGTAGTTTTTTTTTTCTTTTTTGATGTTTAAAAACTTTCCGACTTTTCATATAAAACTTTTGGCTGATAAGAATGTAGTCTTATTTAATGCGATTTTGGGTTTTGTTATGGAGACTCTAACGTCTAAATTTACAAGAAAAAAATAATAGAATCATTTCGTTTTTATTTCTTTTCTTCTCTTCTTTAGGAAAATATAAATATATTTTCATAATGGAAATTATACTCAAAAGAGATCCAAACGTGTGAAACATACATAATATATATATTGTGGGCATAAAATAATGTCGTTAAGAATTTATTTTTTTCAATCCATCGAAAATATAAAATTTAAGGAACTTGCTTAGAAAAGTGATATAAATAAATTCAAATTACAAGCCCTCTTATAACTATCACATCAAATTTGACATGACAAAACAATCTATAAAATGGCTAAATTATGTTGCTGTACAGTGAACATAACAAAAAACCTCGAATAGCTTTTGATCCAATGAATTAATTCAAAGACTCTTTCGTTTATTAAATTATTGCTGTTTCTTAATTAAGTTATGAAAGGCTAAGAATATTCTTTGACTGAATTTTTTATCTCTGGAAGTATATATTTTACAAAAGCATGCCCAAAAATTCTACATTTTGGGCGGATTCTTGACTTCTAAAATACAATGACGGCAGCAATCTGAAAAATATCATCTCAGTTGCTTTACACAAGAGAGTGTGAGCTATTTAAAGTTATAAGTTTTAGTTTTTCTTGATATCCCAGATGTGACTAATAGAATGAATCAAGAAAAACTTTACCCATTATTTAACATAATTAAATAATTATTTAGCATAATTAAGAACTCGAAAATGGAAAAGTTATTACACGTTCATAAGAAACGTTATTTTATGTGACAAAATCCAAAATAGAGTCCGTTAAAAACTTACCTTTTTATATTAGTCCGTTAAAACTTCAAATTAATTTAAGGAAATAGGCATATAAAAATTTTCATCCATTTGCCTTGATAAATGAGTTTGATTCTTTTAATTAATGCCAGAGATATGTTAACAAAAGTTAAATTTACAATATTTAAATTGACGACAGCTGTTTTAAGTATTAGCATCAGCTCCCTCTTTAAGTGTCAAGAATCTATCAAGAAATGTATGTTTTTGACTCTAATTTCTTAAATATTTAGCTCTAATTAATTTACAAAGTATAAATGATGATCTAAGATTGTGAATGAATGTTCGAACTTTAGATCAAAATTTAATTTAGGTGAAGCTTGCTGTATAACACTCAGTTGGGAATAAATATTTGTCAGAGCACAGTCATCTGCACTTGAAATAGTGAACAGATAGTCTAATTCTATTTGGAAAGGCGTTTAGAATCGAGGGTCTGCTTAAAGGTTCAACTTCGAATTTTATCTTCTCCAAACGTTGATCATATATTTCTTGATATCTAATTTGTCAATATAATATCAGAGCTACAATCCTGACATCATATTAAAATTGCAGATTATTAACAACTAAGTACACTTTAAGTGTCTTTAAAACAACACTCTTTTATTTTTTGAATGAATAAGTGGTTAAAATAGTTTTGTATCTAATTTATCATACTGATAATCAAATTCTAAGAACAAATCTTATAAATACTTTAAATATTTAGGAAAATCTTGGCCTGAACTCTGGAAAAGTTGGCAGCTTTGCAATATAACTCTTACCTTCCGGTTTTGGAGCTGATTCTTTTTCATCATTTGTATTTGATTGGGCAACTTGTGATGAAACTTGAATGGCGGGCATTGCGTCTGGATTACTTGGAGACATTGTATACTGCATTGGTCCATCATAGCCTATTTCCAAAAGTATCTTATTTAATATGTGAATTTCTTTTAAATTCAAGATGTGGAACAAAAGAAAACCTATTTCAATCACTGTATTTTCTCACACGCAAAGATGATTTTACTTTAAAAAAATATTTATCTTGGATTAGCATTTTAAGAGCTCATTAACTGTAAACAAAAAAATTCCACGGTTAATCAGACAATGGCTCTAAAAGAAAAATCATAAAATATGATAATTAGATACGAGGTATTTAACTTTCGGTTAATTTCATTTTCTCCGGCCATTTGTCCCATAGACACATTTTCTATCTTAATTAATATTAATGTTGATGCATTTTAGTTGGAAACTTTCTAAATGATTGAAATTAGGCTTATTGATTGAAGAAAACTTATGGACACCCATGCAAATGCCCATATCTACGGTTCAGATATTCACCAGGTCCAACACCGTTAAATATCGTGTAGGAAACAACATTGACATTACTTGCGTATAAGATGCTACGAAGTGCAGAGTTATTTTATATTTCGAGAGCGGCGTGATCATCAGGTATCGCAAAAACTGCTGATCCTTTAGGGGTATATTTAGGGAGCTGAATTTGTTAAAATTCGGCTCCCTAAGCATACCCCTGAGGATCCCCTAAGGATTGCATATGTGATTCAAAAGTGGAACGTGAGAAATGATTGTTAAAATATGCCCCGAGTCCTAGGAGACTCAGAGATAAGGAATGACGTATGATGTCCAGAGAAATTTGGAAGAACCGCTACCAACCGATGATCCACACCTTCATCCGTGAGAGTGGTTTAAAAAAATATCATTCATAAGAAAAAAATTTTGTTTGGATTTTATGGTCGTAACCCTTTGAAAATAAGGTTCATAACCACGCTGTTCATTTAATGTGGTGTTAAAGCACGTTAAAAGTGAACCGTAAATCAGTAGAAATGGGTTCTCTGGAGAAATGAATTAAGATTTACCTTTTCCAGTTTGAATGACAAGATCTGGTTTTGTGTTCTGTCGTGAGAACGAGCTCCTTCCGGATTGTAGCAATTAAAAAAATTGGTGGAATTATTATCTGGAGGTGCGTCACCTGACATAAACAGGGACCATTTGGCCGAATTTTGGTAAGTTCAACACCGACTCTTACTGTACCATTTTTGGATGAAAGTGTGTTTCTTACGTTCTAGCAATTTTAGGGGTTAGACCCCTGTTACTCCCAGAATAATAACACCAGCAGTCATGTTGCTAGGTCTCCCGTGTCTTCTTCAAACAGAATGGAAAAAAATAGCGCTAACCGTGATAAAAGGACTTGTGAAAACATGCTGCCTAAGATTAAAACAGTAATTGCTCAACCAACTACTTATTTGTATTCATTTTATATATTTATTTATTTCGCAGGTGTTAAACTATCGTCATAATAGTCGGCTGATTCTTAGAGTGTTAAAATGAGTAAAAGTAATATGCCACTCTTTAGATCAATTTCGGAACAGTTTCCTTATTTGATTATATTTTAATGGTAAACTATCTTTAATTAAAACACAATATAGGATTTTCTGAAATGATCACCCTTATGCTTATTTGTAGAATTTTTCTAAAGGGGGGCTACTGGTTCAAATCCCGCTCAAGGTATGGACTTTTCTCTGTGTGTTGTCCTCTGTTGTGTGTGATATAGGAATGTGGCCCACCCTATAAACAGGTATCTGTGACAGTGTGACTAGGGTAATGTTGCTCACCTCCGTGATTTTGATCACAAGGTGCTTACCAGGCAAAGCAAAATGAGCAACACTTCCGGCACCTTTCATAGCGAAGAACGGTAAGTTCAGTGCAGGCGGTTAAAAAAAGGGAAAGAAAACAAAAAAGAATTTTTCTAGAAAATGACGTAAAAACTGTGCACCTATTAAATGTCATGAATTAATAATGAATAAAGAGAGAACAAAAATGCTTTAAAAATCTGATCAACAACTATATTGAAGTTAATAAGACCAAAGAAGGAATTAATATCGTCCAAAAACACGTTAATTGAGAATTAAACTTTAAGGCTTGAGACAATTGTATTTAATACCCAGTAGACAAATAAACAACCTTCAATTAAATAGTTTTAACTTTTCTCTGCTCTTCCCAACCTCAATAACGATTCGTCAGAGTTTGTAAACATTTTATTTTTGATTTATTAAATATCAATAAGTGATTTTTAATGCGCATAGTTTTTTTTTAAAGAAATTATAGGCTTTTATTAAAAGCACCATGTAGAGACAAGATATTTTTACTTACAGAGAACTACTCCTTGATTGTTTTTGTTGACACTGTATCCTGACATAAGAGGCTTTGCTTCTTCCCCCCTCCATGCTCTTGCTGTCTGAGGTCTGGAATCAGAGGCATGTACCATGCCTGGAATTTGCCTCTTCTGCTTTTGTTTCTGCTCCACAAGCTGCCTCTGTCAAGAGAATATTATGTTAGACATTGAAAGTATGTAATGTATCAGGCTATAGAGTTATTTTTCTTTTCAGATTACAGAGGAATGTAAATGTGAAATAATTATACTAAAAGTTCAATCAACTCTTTGATCCCTTACCAGTGTTGCCCAAATCCAGTTCGGGCAACTATTATTTGTGACTCCCCAACTGACTTTGGGCAGGAGAAATATTAAAGTCTCTATTTTGTTCTTTACTTTAGGATACTTAATTCACTATTTTCCTAATAGATGACATTAGTGGTCCTAGTTTTTCGACTTCAGTCGAGGGAGGGAAATGTGCGTGGGGGTTTTGGGATATACCATACTGTAAAAGATTTGTAAGATTTATGTATTGAAAATCATATTGTAGTGTTTCTATATTACATTATGCTAGTCATATTACATTTAGCTTCAAAATTTCGTTTAATTTGCTCTAATTGAATAAGATGTGTGTGTAATCCATTACTTTGTTATGTGTATGTAAAAGTTATAAATACAGTAGTTATTGCATTTAAAATTTTATTTTTGTAATAAAAAAACATTTTTTAACTTTTATAATAATACAAAGAACAGTCAAAAAAATTTTCCAGGTTTGGTTCATTTTTCTGAAATATATGTCACTGTTGAGTGGTTAAACTTAATGGTAACAAAGTAAACCAAGTAACCAAACAAAATGTCCACATTTGGCCAAATGAAAAGGTATTTTTCTTCAACACATATTTCTCAATAGACAAAGCCAAAACTTGTAAAGTTAAACGTTCTTTTTCCAACACAGATAATGTTTCCTTGAGCATAGCAATTCTTGTTATTTTTTGGTTTGATAATAGCAAAATATTTAGAATAAAAAAAGAGAAGAAAAAAAATAATTAAAAAAATTTCTCTTTAATAGAAGTAAAAACAGTACGGTTTTCGGAGATAAATATAGAAATAAAGTAATGGGCTAAGTATTGAGACACATTTATAATAAAAAGTACGTGTTATGATGGGAAATATATGATTGATACTCATTTTTTTTACAGACGCATGCTGTATTTCAATTGATTTGAAATCCTACTCTTCAAACGATTTTCTAAATTCTTTAAACAGGGACTGGAAGATTTTTTTAATGCTTAAAAATTTTTCCTATTGATTTTCTTTATTATGGTATGTAAGCAATAAATAGTAAAAATGGCAAATAAATTGTAGAAAAAAATAATAAGTTTTCTCCTCACGTAAGATAAGGATAATATTTTTTTTTCTTCTTTTATCCTTATTAAACTTCAAATGATGTTGCAAGAACTTTTTGTCCACGATAAATTTATTTTTCAATTTTAAGGCAATCGCGGATAAAAAAGCGATAACTGCATGAAATTTGAAATGCATATTAGATGCATTACTTTAGTTTCTCTTCAGAAAAGTGAAAAATATATTTCAACTTTTCAATATGTATATTTCTTAAAGAAATAGTCTTGAGAAAAAATATTTATTTTAACAATTGGAGATTTTTTTTTAAATTTTAAACTTAATAACTAATGCCGAGGAAAAATCATAAACGATTATTTTTATTTAAAATAAATTAAAAAATTGCTCTTTCTTTATTAAGTTATATGAAGAAATAGATTGTAAAAGGATTCATAAAAGTTTGGTTGTCATTTTTTATGCCTACTAAGTATTTTAATACCAAAAACAGCACAAAAAGTTTACAACAATACGTGTATTTTTTTAAATGCCTCAAAAAAGTGTCTTTCATTCTCTTAAAATATTTTAAATTGAAAGCAAATCAGAGTGATTTTATACATTTGATATGGTAATTATTATTAGATACATTAAGAGTTTAGCTAAAGTAACATTAATGTATATTTGGAAAGTCTCAGATTAATTTCTTACTCTCATAATAAAGCTCTTATATTTGAAATGGAAAAATCTTGAAAAGGAACGTTTTTTATAAAATGGATAATAGCAATTGCTTTCGATAATAGTTATTACATTTTTAAATGCATCGGATGCCTAACTGAAGAAAATTTATTTTTGTTTTGAAAATCTCAGATAAATTTGATTCTCCCACAATAAATCCCTTTTTTTAAATAGAAATTTAAAAGGGGGAACGTTTTTTCATATAATAGATAATAATAATTTCTTTTGATATTGGTGCTACCTTTTTAAATTTTAACAATAAATCTCCTACTTTCAAAATGGGAAGTTTTAAGAAAAGGAACACTTTATTTTTATAGATTCGATAATAGAAATTGCATTTGATAATAGTAATTATGTTTCTAAATGCATTGAGAATATATAGTTGAAGTAATATTCATTTTTATTTGAAACATAGAGAAGAAGTGGAGTCGGTGTAACGTCTAAAGTGAATGGGTGGGTTCGAAGCATTCGAAATGCTTGGTGAACAAAATATTTCTTTTTGTTGGGAAAGTCTCTGATAAATTTCCTTTTCTCATAGTAAATCACCTGCTCCCAAAAGGGAAAGTTAAAGGAATGTTCTACTTTATACATAAATTCGATAATAGAAATTACATTTGATAACAGTAATTATGTTTCAAACTGCATTGAGTATATAGTTGATGTAATATTCATTTTTATTTGGTACATATTGAGAAGAAACAGAGTCGATATAACATCTAAAGTGAATGGGTGACATTGAAGCAATCGAAATACCAGGGGGAGAAACATTTTAGAGGCAACTTTTGTTCCTCATTCACACTTAACGTTATGAGGAGTGTATAAAAATATTGACTGAATAAAGTTTTTCCGTATGAAATATAAATTATTTATTGATATGAGTGAGAGGAGAAGTAATAAACAGCTTTTTTTCATCCTTACTCAATAATTACACAATGATATAAAATTAAAAATTTTATCTTCATAATTTTGCTTAACCTGTTAATTACTGTAGATGAACATATGGAAATTTTTTAACGTTTGAGTTTCTAGTGTCCTGCACTCCCTAATTTGTAACTCTGGGATATTAAAATACGATTCTCTCATTCACGCATAGATGGCAGAAACATAAAGCTGCTAAACTATCTCCAATGTCCAGTTAATTTTTTTTTTACGGATTTGAAACCTAATGGTTAAAAACCGTATAGTTTTGTGTTCATGGTTTTTCCCCCATACTAGTTGTACACGGTTTCAAAACCGTAAAGGTAAAATATGTTCTTTACCGTAAACTTTACGGTTAATTGGATACAGCTGGCTATTTTACCATAATTTTGAAACGAAAATTCTAACAGTGTGATATTTACTTTTAATTTCCTTCTTTTACAATAAATATCCGGTTTTTAAAATTAAATGGTCAGAAAAGCAACGTTTTTTTTCCATAGATTTCTATGAATATTAATTTTAAAGAATATAAAATTTTGTTATTCATTGTAAATATCTTATTTCTTATACCGCATAAAAATTGACACCATAACTTTCAAAAAATTTTAACGAATAGTTAGGGGAAACAAATGAACTTTATTTAAATTAAGGGCTTGGCTGTTATCTAATAAAAAACAAAGAAAGCTATAACAGTTACCGTTGGATTGAGAAAAAACTCTTTTGTTCTATTGAATTAAAAGCTTTAATTTATCGGAACAAAAAAAAGCTAAATGAAGATTCCACTTCAAAACAGAACAGAAAGTTTCTTTCCTATTTATGACAGTAATTCTTTTGTTTCTCAAGCAGATTGAAATAAAAATTAATTTGCATTTCTGTGTGAAGAGAGAGAAAGTGTGGTCTTAAGTTATTTTTCTTTGAGAAATAATTTTTCTTTTCTTTTGAATAATTGAGAAAAATCAGTTTATATTTGGTTAAAAATAGAAAAAATAAATTCATTGGGGTTTTTCTTCTATGCTTCAGGGGAGATAATAATCAAAATTGAATTTGGCATTTTTCTTTACAAAATGCTTCGATTGAAGCAAGATTTTTGAATCTTTTATTCAGCATTATTTGTGTGGAATTTCAATGTTGTTTCAACAACAAATCTTGCTTTTCTGTGAAGGTGTAAAAAATCATCAAAATTAGATTTGGCATTTTTCTTTGTGAATTGTTTTGATAAATGCAACCTAAGCTTTTTGGATCCTTAGATCTGCATTCGAAATTTTTGAAAAACAGATTGAAAAATTCTAAACGATTGAAAAGTCATTTTCGTGTGAGCTTTTTTTCTCAAATCATATCTATTACTATTTTTGAAAACATTTTTCAACACGCACCATAAAATTTAGCATTACTATAGCTTGCTGAAAATTTTACAGGTTGTTAGCATGTCATTATGGCTCATTTTTTAATAATTCAACAGTAAAAATCTTAATTCTAATAGATATAATCCCCTTAAACGTCCTTGATGTAATTATTAATGCAACTCCATACTATATGATTAGATTATTCTCTCGCTTGCTTAAAATAGCCAACACAGATGTCTCCAACAGATGTAACTAAATATTAGATCAACTTCAAAGAAAAACGCTTTTTTGTTTTTTTTTTCTCTTGCTTTTTAGAGCACATTTTAATAAAGTTTTTTTGCCAATTATGAATTGTTGAGTTTTTTCAAATGCAAAATTTCTCCATTGTATTCGATATCCATTTCTGTCAACAATAATTGCAATATTATTGTATTCGATGATTATTGCGATACTACGGTATTCAATATTAATCGTTCTTGATAAGAATCATGATGTTATTGTTGCCCATAAATATCGTTCACTGAATGTTTATTGTAAGATCTAGTGTCCGAGATATAACGTGACACTACTTATTAAATTATCACTCTCGTGATTGTAAAAAAAAAATTCCGATGTTTCGTGATTAATTTGGGTATAAGGGGGAAACCTAAGTTGTTTGCGAAATGTAGATATTTAAAGAAAATACATCTCCAGGCATTTAGAAGGAATATGATACTAGAAAAAACATCAATTTGATTATTAGAATTTTCAAAATATTAAATGCTTCCCAGAAATTTAGACCAGTGAATGAGAAGTATTGTTACATTATCCTAACAGCGTTAAATGATAGCAATTTGAACATTTTGCGATCGTATGCAACTCTCAGCCACTAATTCTTACATAAAATCAACAAAACTCAACCAAACAAGGATAATGATAGCCTTTTTTCCTTGTTGTAACTTATATGTATTTAATGCGTCTTGACATCGAAGAAGATACAGTACCAAAACGATCATTTAGTCATGATTCCGGATTGTTTTAGCTATTTCCATAAGCCCAACAATATTAACAATTTATTTGAATAAATTAAAAG